TGTCACTGTGGCCATGTCAAGTGGATGTTAGAATGTGTGTGTGTGTGTGTGTGCGTTGGTGGAAGAGCCATGTTGGACTGATCCCAAACAGCTCTTGGCAAAGAAAGGGTTCGTCTGCTGCAGTTGCACAACGTCACTTCAGTTCATTGATTACGACAGCTTGCAATGACAGCTGGTGACAACAAAGGAAGCAAGACATAGCAAAACCCGTTATTTGAAGTTTGCCCAACATCAAGATTGTTTGTTGCCCCTTGAAACAACCAGGGCTTAGATGGAACTCGACGTCTGTCAATATGAAACTTGCCAACTTGATGAGTGAGATGGACCCCCAGTGAGCTTTTCTATAATTAGATCTGACGCAAATAGACCTACTGGACTGAAATCCCATGATCTCCGACATCCTTCACTTTCACCTCCCCAAGGCGTTGTTTTCAGCGACGAAGCACGGGTGCCTGGGAGTAGCGAAAGGAGCTCTTGACCACCGGGCTCCATTCGCCGAAGGTGTAGGTGAAGCCGGTGAGGAAGCAGGTGAAACTTCCTGCAACTGTTGAGGCTGTAGGCTGTGGATGTTACTTTTTCCCACAGACAAAGGGAACAAAACGGACGTGGACACGAAAGAAGAACATCCTCTATATGTACAAGGGCTTCACTTTAAATACAAATTTCAGGTCCTTGAGGTGCTCAGGTTCTGTTTGCTCAGCTCAGCTTGATTTGATTGAACATGCTATGAGTTCTTGATGGAAAACAAAGAAAGGCAATTAACCAGTAAACTGACCGGTCACATCTGTAGAACCACCGAAGAACCAGGTTAGTTGGAGGAATTCGTCTCCAGAATCCTCGGACCTGATTCGACCCACCTGATGGCCATCTTCCACCTGTTTTGAGATATTCCAAGCACCAGTATAGTGGGCTTCTGACACATACTCAGGAGCAGGAGCATATGGCATATGTTCTCTTAAAGAAATGACATGTCTTATCAGAAAGCTTTTGGGGGACACTGCCTGCACATACACTTCATACACTTCCGGACCGGACGGTTCCTTCACCCGACCGTACCGACCTCACCTCGATCCCAAACACGACCGTACCGACCGACCGACCATGTCCATCTCCCGGTGACGGCTTGGTGACCCCGGTGACGGCTCGGTGACCTGGTAGAGGAAACCTGGTCGTGGTATACGGTGAGTTTCCCTGTCTGGGACTCACATATTTACCGAGAAACACCGCGGTTCAACGGGCCCCACACTGATCGGCAAAGGACTGAGCAGTCCCATTTTGGTCGTGTCTGGGTATGGCTTGGACTTGGATTGTGCTTCTTCGCTCAAGCCCGCCGTGCAAAAGAAGAATCGCATCTTCGCCATAGTTTCAGCGGGATTCACCCAGGAAACCCATCCATGATGAAACATGTTCATCCATGTTCATCCTATCATCAAAATCTTGGATACAAATGGATACAGCAATTCTTCCTGAGAAACAACTAATGTCCTTCCACTGCAGGATGGTGCAAGTGCCCTGCATCCATTCCGCATCTGTTCAGCTCGTCCCCAGATCCTTCACCCCTCCCGCCTGCGCAAAAGGTCCACCAAGCACCACTGCCATGGCCCGACCAAATCATCGGTCAAAACCCACGGGAAGCTCGGCCGACCAAACAAGGGGGAGAAGACACCCAGAGCGGAGAGCAAGATGCAGAATGCAAGACTCATCGTGTATCATGGGATATCATGGGCCATGGGTTAAACATGGAGGTGTCCATGGTTTTTTATTTGTCCAATGAAGGATCTCCGAATGCGCTTCATCTGGTCTCGTCTCCTCTAAAATATTGTATCATATAAACCCATTGCCGCATCACGAATTGCTCGTCAAGGTGTCTACATTCTATATGTCCCCTGTTGCCAGGTCCATACGAGTGGCGCGTGGCGCGAGTCCTGTCGTTCACATGTTGGAAGATGAAGGGTGCCACGAATTTGGCTACTGTTCCGGCAAAACGCCCCCCAACCCAGTGGTGCGTTTCCAACAGAAAAGTTGATGCCATCTGAAAACTTCAGAGATTTTCCCGGCTTCTTCGCTTCTGCCATTGTGCAGCTTGTGCCATGGCCATGGCCATCCATGACCTATGTCAGCTGTGAAGCCATTCATCGGGCAACGAGTGTGTGTACCAATCGTGTGCGAAAACTAAACACCTCAAAACCGATTGTAAAAAAACAGCTGAAACAACTCGTTCAGAAGGAAGTTGGAGCCTTGTCAACGATTGATTCACCTTCATTGAAGATCAACCACATGTTTAGGGAATCAGTCAAGCTAAGAGCTAACAAGTGTCAGCTCCGCTGAACAGCTGGATAATATTATGTGTCTTTTTGTTCTGCAGCAGGCAAACACAACTTTGCTTCCAAAACAACCCGTAGGATGAGGATGGTTTGAATGATCAGAATGATCATGTGAACCAAAGCCTGCACAAGGAATTGATTGCCTGGGCCCCAGCTGAAGGAAATTCGACTGGGGATTGACAATTTGACAAACACTCTGTGCTGCAAGCAATTGAACAGCATAATAGTCCCAAAACCCATCAAACCTCTTCTGCAAGCAAATCATATTATGGGTCATTGGTATGTTCTGCAAAGGTCAGTCAGGTTAGAAGGGTAACGTACTTATAGCACAGTCGACTTTTGGCCAGCATCAGTCTATCATGGTCATGACATGTTGAGCTCCTAAATGATGATTTGTACATTCAACAAAGAAGGAAGTACCCCCTTTGTGCTTAGTTTTAGCAGATCTGCAAGTTTGGGCTGTTCGGTCGCATCCTGAACTGGAACTACGTGCCGTCTGGTTCCTCACCATGTTTCCACCGGTACTGCCCAGCACGGTTCTGGTCTTTTGGTCTCCAACGTTGCTTGGAACCCGCGGAACGTGGCGGGCGCAAGGAGACTGGGACGAGCGGTTTTGGGACAGCCTGACAGCCTGGTGGTTGCATTGGATGGAGGGCTGCTGTAGGCAACAAATCATAAAGGGAGGGCCGGTATGGTGGGACCGAGGGATGCGTCCGTCAGTGAAGGGAAGGCACAACAAACTATAAGGGCCTTGAGATTCGCAAGGAGTTCACTGGGCAACTGGCAGGCGAAAAGAGGAAGGCAAGTCGCAGTGCTGCAGGTGTTCAACTCCGAGAAGGTCAAAATGAATGCGAAGCGATTTGTATGAACTAAATCCGCAGCATGTGTTCAAGAAGTTGGGTATATTTTGTTTGGTGTAAGAGTTGATGATGATGCTTGGTACAGGCCTCTCTCAAGAATAATAGTCATATCATATTTTATCAAGTGTTACTGGTAATGGGATACACCCTATCAAGAAGTCGTGTCGATACGGTGAACTACTCCCATATTGATGTGATTCGCCATGATTCTTCTTTTCTGAGCACATGGTGAATGTCCCAAGTATCAGACATAGTACTGGACATCTTCCACAGCCCTTCTTTTTTCCCTCACATCTGTCAGTCCAGAAAGACTGAAACATCTAAACAAACACCCATCGCCGTGCCTGGAACTGGCTGGGACTGAACGGAAACGCTTGGAACTTAGAACCATCCAAATATATATATATTATGTATATGTATCTAAAACCCGTTTGACCTCTGTTCAATCAGGTTCTAGGTGAGTGTGTGTGTATATATATATATATGTGTGTAGTTGCGCAGAAAGCAAAGGATGATCGAACTGTCAACTGTTCATTCATGTCATTCCCACACCATCGTAATGTAAAACAGCTGGCAGGGGCAACTATTATGACTTTGATATCCTAGATTTGATGCTGACTTCAGACATCTTCAGGCCGTCTGTGAGGGGCACACCCTTTGGCAGCCCGAAGACATGCGACATCGACAGAGATCGGCTCAAATCAGCTTTGCAGCTTGTTTTGCAGCTAGCAGCTAGTCGTGCATCTTGAGGGGTACCCCTATGTGGGGGTCCTAGTTCTATAGGATGTTCTAGGTGGTGTTTGGGATAAGAATCGATGATATAATTCAATCATCCACACCTTTTCAAAGCTCAGTCAGATACATCCAGGATCCCATGTTTGGGAGGTGAGACACTTGGATGTCCAGGAAGCCGGATAGAAAACAACACATGGGACTCCACATGTTCCCCAAGAATGAGGGGATTTGGATTCATAGAGACACTAAAAATATATTCCTACGCCCTACGCCCCTACGCAAACAAAAAATGGTCATGGCTCATGTTCACGCGCAGCTGCGAAGCTCTCCCTAACACATGCCGATCTCCGTCCATCACGGGAAAACTCCTACGAGAGAACGCGTGAATTGACGGCCAGTTGCCAAAAAGGATTTGGAAGAGTGGGATGGCCCAGATCGCGCCCGTGGAAAACATGGACCGCCTGCAGGACCAGAAGTGACCCAGCTCCTAGAACCTGAGTGACCTTCATTTTGAAACCACCAACCACCCCAAATATGGCCTCTTCCCATCACAAACACAGATTCAACTGGCTCAACATAGATCTGCATCTCTCCCATCGTGGGTCCCTACACGAAGCGGTCCTTGGGTCCCCACGTGGCTCGTACTCACGATTCGACGATTCGATCAGGACCTCGGTTTTTTCCGCCGAGGTGATGATGTGGGTGTCTTTTTCATCGGGGTCTCCGATGAACACAACAGCTGGTCCTGTTGATTTGTCTTGATTTGATGTTTTTTTGCGGAAGGCTTTGGGGAAGGATGTCCCTAGACAAGGATCTTTGACGTTCACACAATTCATCACTGACTAAGGCCTTGGACTCCGATAATTAAGAAACCCATAGGCCGAAAAGAAACACACCGGCCACCCGAGGGTGGGCACCAATGGAACTTGAGAAAGCATTGAGCCAGATTAGTTTGAAGTCTGACATCGCAAGAGGTAGAAAAGCAATTTCTATGGGTTGGATACGTTGGCTTTCATATGTAATTACATATGAGCTTTCATTCTAGAAAATCCAACTCCAAAAGCTGCATTCTATACTAATTACATATGAGCATTGAAGCTGATTGGAGTTGTTCTTTCTTTGGGTTTCTATCTTTTCGGCACCGCTGATGTTTGGAACTCTATTGCATGTGAATCAACATGCATTTGCGGCAATATCCGCTAGCCTTGTATGATGTTGTTGTGAAAAACGAGTCCGGGCCCAGAACTAGAAGTTGATCTTTGCTGTAATCCCGAGTACCTATTAATAAACACTCCCCTTCGATCTGGGGACCCCGTGTTTATTCATAGGTGGACCGGATTAGTTCAGGTGCAAGGTCTCAGATTGCACCTTTGAGAATGGTACCTAAATGCCGCACCTGGCTACGTAGGGTTCTGATGGCATAGTTTCAGAGTACAGCCTATAGCTACAAGTATACAAGCAGGCATGTCTGTGAAAAAGGTGACCATCACGTATACGACTCGTCTTTTGTGAGCTTGCCAAGGTTCTCTTGCATACCCTATGTTCGTTTGCGGCCCGGTTATGAACCCTAAGAACCTCGTCACGTGGTTCTTGCAGAGTTCTCTCAGTGTTACTGATGCATGCGCTGCGCTGCCAACCCCGAGCCCCACTCCTTTCGCTCGCTCGCTCCACCGCGGCTGCTGCCGCCCGAGGGGCACAGAGACGGCCGAGACGGGCACGTTGGAGTTCTCGGGCGCCGCCTGTGTGACGGTACCCGTGGGGATAGTTTCGGTCGGTTCGGGGGGTGAAGGGCGAAGGGTGGTGGGTGATGGAGAAGGAGCAAGAGAGGAGCAAAGAGAACCCCTTGGTTCTCATGTTTTTGACTAGAAGCCTTGAGTGCTTGTGTTGCAGAATATACAATTATTCATACAAAAGGTTTTAAACAGACACAGAAGTCTATTTGTCAAATCTTTTTGATCACACTCTCTAAGAACTCAAACTCATGGCTGGGCCCAAAGGCACTTCAGGGAAAAGGAATTCAGCCATGTTCTTCACATGATTGACTATACAACCGCCACATTGTCACTGCGGATGTCTGCAACAATCAATGGGGCTGCAAACCTCAGAAAGATAATATGCGAAACTGCTTGCTTTTAGCCTATTACGCGTCTTGTAAAGTCGCAAAATGTCATGGCTTTGCAGAGAATCTCCACCCCAACGACTCCAAAGAGCTTCTCCATCTCATGCAGCTTGGAAGACAGCCCAGGTTTCTACACAATCCGAAGAACTATGCTATGCTGCTATCATGCTGCTGGCGCAGATTAGAAAGACCCCCACCCAAGCCCTGTGGTTATGGCATTCAGGTGCGTCACCTTGATGGTGTGTCACCGTCTGACACAGTCGCCTTCATGCAGAAAAGAAAGAAAACATATCGATCGGGATCGGTCGGAGGGCACCTGGTTGAGGGCGGATTGCATCACCTTGGGCATCTCTGCCACCTGCACCGGTCGGTGGCCAAGGGGTGATAGGTTTGGGCTGCTTAAAAAGGCAGGGCAGCAACGTATATACAGTTACAGTAGTATACAAAGATTAAACATATGATTAAACGATATATAACTTATCATACCATAATATTTCACGGCACTTCAATGATTAAAGTGCTCCCCCAAACCATCATAAGCCCAAGCATGGCTTTTCGAATCCAACAAAACCAGTTGGGACCCTCAACCAGTTGTTGGAAACGAACAGAAGAAGTTGGCAAAGCAACAAACCAAACCTCTCTGCTTTGCGCAAATCATCGGCAACACACCGAAGATGGAAACCGAAAACGGCCTCCTTGGCCGTGCAGACGGGCCGGAGTGTGCGTCCATCATACCTGGCATCGGCAACAAACAGCTGAGGAATGGGTTTACAAAGCTGGAGCCTTCAGGTGCAGATTTGTTTTAAGGTGATCATGGAATGATCATGGGATCATGGAATGAGTGTTTTTCGTTTTCGCTGGACTCTTCCATTTTTGTGATGGATGTGTTCAGAATGTAGGTTTTACAGGATGATCATGGAGGTTCACTCTGGTTGACTACGTATAAAGTTGGACCCCGCGATGCCATCCAAAGACACGCTCTTGAAAGGCGTTGATCGGTCTCAGCAGGCAGCTTTTGCAAACATTTGCAAAGCAAGCCGTCTTATTCAGTTGTCCACAGTAAATCCAGGCATACCTCTATGTTATATGAAACATCTTGATGCATCTAAAGTTTCGCCACCTTACAAACCATCACACATGAATCATCTGGTTCCTATCCTGGACTTCTTCTTGGTGTCTACTTCCATGTGCCCGCCTTCCCAACCTCCAACCCTCCCCCCACCAACCGCCCGAAACCACCGCAGCTCGGCGAACGCAGCGTCCACACCAAAACACGGAGCGCCTAACGCCTCCCAAAGATCCTCCACATCCACCTCCGCAGCACCCCTCCGCACCTGAGGACCACCTGACCATCCTCCACGTCCACAAGCACCGCGCCGCCCGACTTCAAGTCGCCCGCGACCAGGAACTCCGCCAAGGGGTCCTATCGCGGGCTCGCTTGGCCATGAATCACACGGCATGAACATCATCTAAATTCCTTTCTTGAGGTTTTTTGACGCTCCTCAAATAGTTTATGTTAGGTTGCAAACTGTAGCGATTTAAGTTACAGTTGTAAGATGTACATGTTGTAACATGGGGGCACTCTATATAGATTTATGCCCTATGCTTTTGGCTTGGGTTGTGTCACAATGTGCCTTACTGGTCTTATGGTACAAGCTACGTACAAACTTGGAAGATGCAGCAGCTTGTACGTCAAGATTGTCCGTCACCTAGACATGGCTTTGGCTCAATCTATCAGGGTGACTTAGATCTATGACAGTATATATCTAACCTTCTGTCATGTATGCACCAGAGGTGGCTATGCCTCAGAGCACACTAAGACACTACTGGGAATATGATAGGAATAGGCATATATACAATTTCGTAATTACAATTATATATATATATATCACACACCCTAAAAATAGAATCTTTCGAAGACACCAATGTACCCACAGTCATACCGATCCATACCCATCACCATATGGTCCCCCTCATCACCCATCGGCCCCTTACCCATCACATCCCAGAAGCACCCACGGCCCTCGCCTCGAAGAGGCGTTGGACGGCCCGGCGCAGGGGTCGAGCCTGGGAGCTCCGTCGGGCTGGTCGTGCGACTGCGAACGAAAAGAAGCACGGCATCGTGCGACGCCCTGACAGTGTGGAGGCCGCGGAGGCCTGGGGACGAAGAAGGGACCCTTTAAATATGTTATTAGAATTTATTAGGTGAGTAACCAATTTGTCACGGGTCCCCACAGGATCCTTTTAGCTTAACTATAGGGCTTTCTCAGAGACTTCTCTTTGTGTGATGTCGCGACATCCTTCTGGCCATGGAGTGCATACAGGAGTCAAAACGCCCCCCCTCTGCCCTGACCAATGCTGGAATCGCGGTGTGGGCTGCATTTAGTTTTGCAAGTGTATGAAACTTCTGCATACATTGGCATGTCATCATGTCATGGGCATAAGCAAGGAAAGTAGAAGTATCATGAAGTATCAACCTCACTGAGCCTTACCAGTCTTTTTAGTTCCAATGCCAGAACATGAAGGCATCTGTCCTTTCACTGCTGAACATGTCTCTTGAACCCTCACATGGCAGAGTTGAACAGGTCTTCGGCCCTGTCTCCATCCCGTTGAACACGTTGTCAATAGTATTATAGTTACTGCGGTTACTGTGTCGCCCCTAGAGGTCAGGAACTGACCTCATTTCACTGAGGACTGACCTCGGTTTTCAGGACCAGGTCAGACTGGAGTTAGAGGTCAGAGACGGGGCCTGAAGTCTTCCGAGTTACCCTTCAAACCTTGGAAGAACCCTCACGCCCCATCTTCCGGAAACCACCGGAGCCAGGCTCTGACCTCCAGGTGCCAGGCTCTCACTGCTTCGACTGGGCCTTCCGGGCACCATAGGAGACGTTGGAACCCTTGGCAATGACCAGCTGTTCCAAGTCTGCCTTGGCCAAGCTCCGGTGGGAAAGGTGAGTCATTCCATCGTTTCGTCAGGCCAGTCCTGTCCAGAGGAAGCACATGGAGCAGCTCATTTGTGTCTTCGGGTTCTCTGTGAACAAGCTCCAACCCACTCAACAACTAATGTGGCTCCTCGGCTTGAAGTTATGTCATCCCATTGTGTTGACCCTCCTTATCGTTCATAGTGCCTGATATCATCGAATCATTTGGGATCCATGTTTGCTGGTTTCCAGCCCAAGCTCACAAAGCACTTGGCAACTGAGAAGGAAAAAACACTAATTCTGATCGTATTTCTATGCTGCAGTGGGGAATTCATCCATTCATGTCATATTCATTCATGTCATGTTCGTTCATTCATTCATACATTCATTGCGCCCAAGACTTCACCAAGACGTTGCCACGACCGCCGCACAAAACGTGGACCCCCACCGTCCAGGTGATCTCCAAGCGCTCAGGCGATCCATGCTGCAGTGCCGCCTGCAGTTGAAGAGTCACAGACGAATTCAGTGGTTTTCAGCCAAAATGGCTCACTTAATGTGGACTTTTAGTATAAAACCGCTAATTTGGAGTGGTTTTAACATGTTCTAATCAGGTGAAAGACTGTAACATAGATTTAAGATATAGCTACAACCATGATAGCTATTAGAAATAGCCATCACAAAATAGGTCCTGCAAGAGAAAACACGTCAATAAGGTCTCGAAGACCAGGGTCATTGAAAGACCGCGGCATGGAGTTGGTACTTTAAACGCCTAGCAAGCCAAGCTTGCGTGACACTGGCTCCAGCCAGATCGACCACTGTGTTTGTTTTTTCCACGTTTTTTTTCAACGTGAACGATGCAGTTTTTTATTTATTTTTTTTCGGATTCCCTTCCTGTACTACTTAATTAGGGCCGGCCTGTGGCCATTTCCTAACTCATCGGGCAGCACCTGACCTCCTCAAATGCGTTGATGGCTCTGGACTGAGCATCGCCTAAGATCAACTGCACCTCGGCACCGCGCACGACGCGCACGACGCACAAAGCATGACCCGCTTTCGGCAGAGCTGGTGCGGTGCTGTCCTGTGGTCCTGTGGTTGCTTGGATGATCCTCCTTGGTCAAAGTTGCGGGGTTGGTGGAGTTGGCACACCGAACCAAACAGGCGGAGTTGGCCCGCCCAACTTACGATGCAACTTACCACTCACGTGCAACAATCCTTCATGTCTTCTCGGTCTTCTTCCAACTTCAACTGGATGAGGACTCCAACTCCAAATTGACCCGTCAAAACCCCCAATGGCTCGCACAATCTCCCCTTCCCCAAGTGTTTTTTGTGAGTATTCACTCCTGGATTTCTAACCACCTATGCAGCAACATGGTCTGATTTGATTTGATCTCCAAAAGCCACTAACACCGCCCGGTGTAAACGCACACTGAACAGGCACCAGTTGATGACTCTGTGCTGCTATATAAGTTGACTGCACTGAGGTCATCAAGGGAAAATCAGCACCCACGACCTAGTCTTGGAGGGTGCGTGGAGAATTGTTCTTGCTCTTGTCCAGCCGCGCCCTGTATTTTTTTGTTGCTAAAATAAAACGATCATATACGATCAAATCCTATAGATGTGCGGGAAGGGAAACACCCAGTTCAAGCCCAACATATACATCCGATGCGTTGAGGAGAAATCCTCGAGCCACACCACTTCACCGTCCGTGCTCTGACCCCCGGCAATCTGGGTCAGCTGTGTTTCCGAGAGCGCTTGAAAGACCAAGAGCTCATCAATGCGGTTCAGGAATTCGGGCCTGACGAGCCGATCACCATCGATCGAGCATGGCTTAAGCTAGCGGCTACCGAAAACAACTCGTTCAACTAAGTACTGTGGTGGAGCCGTTTGATGTCCTTTTCTTCTAAAGGTACAAACTATAGGCATGTATAGACGACCAAATCCCCTGCTCAGATTCCTTCAGATGACCCTTTTGTGTGCGTGTGGGTTCTCTTGGTGAGCCGCCCAAAAACCATGGGGCTCAACCATGCAACCTCTCCATCAAGCATCCCTTTGGCTCCACAGCTCCACAGTCAGCTCACAAGATCGGGTGTCCCAGCTTAGGGAGGTTGAGAAGCTATCAAAAAGGCTTCACCAGCTGTAGATGAGCCCGGAAAACCTCATGAGGATGGTTCTTTTCGGTGATCCTTCCGGCTCAGTTGCCCGGGGGTCCCGGAGGAGAAGCTCGGAGCTCGGATCCCAATCTGAATGATCCCCGACCTCTCGGACACCAGACCTCTCGGCCGAACAGTGGAAAAACGACCATTCCAACCGTCTCACCGTCTCCGACCCAGTCCTCTGGCCGTTCAAAGCCCTCTTTTGAGAGGGTGAGTTCAAAAAGGATCCTCCGACTTCCTTTCGCGAGGATCATCATCTGTTGTGCCTCTCAAGAAGAAAAAACTTGTATTTCTAGAGGTCTCGACCTTTCCCAACTCAAAGCCATTTGAAGTGGTTAAGTCTTGCAAGCACCTGGGTCGCATATTTCGAAGCAAACAATATGATGATCTTTGATGCTGAGATATACCTGGAAGTCGTTTGACCTCTATTCTTCTGATAGGAAGTTTGACCATATTTCGGGTGGTTGGTCCAAAATAGAGGTTCACGACGGTCACGTTCCAGCTTCCCAAGCAGGTCGACCCCGTTCGACCCGGATCCTTGGACCAACTCCATCGTCGAACGACGCCACGGTCGCCTGAACTTCTGTTGCAGTTGCGCTTGAACGGCTCGCCGCAAATCTCCATAGGATCCCATCCCGGCAGCCTCGCAGATGTTTCAGCGGGAGCGGACAAAAAGTGGCAGGTCATATTGAGGAATATTGAGGATCATATGAGGATCTGTTTCTTGTTGTTTCTTTGAGTGTTTTGGGTGGTCAAGCGGTGCCCTCCGTGTGGTTTTCTCCGTCGCCAGGTCTTCCAGACGAGTCCGGATGTTTTGGGCGGCCCGGGCCCCGGCGGAGTCGGACCAGTGATGCGGAGTCGAAGCAGGGCATCGCTGGGTCGGTTTGGATGAATGCAGGACCCAGACACGACTAATGGGACTGCCAGGACGGACTGCCGCCCCATTGACCCCCCTGGCACCACCCCTGGCCTGATCGGCATATATGGCAGTCCCATGGAGTGTCTGGGGGATGAAAGCCATGTTTGTGATGTGAAGAGACTCAGTCTGCGCGTTTCTCATTTCTGAGCCACCTTCGGGTTGTGATTCAAAGCACTGTCAAGAGATCCTCTACATTCTAGTGCTGCACAGCTATCAAATCAGCTTGGCCTGTAGAAGTCTACTTCCGAGACTTCGGGAAGCCTTGCTGCAAGTATATGAAGTTGGCACATGACATCGCAAATGCC